TCCGGCGACGCGGGGGAGGGGGTCACCTGGGCGTCGTTGGGATTCGGGCCGACGCGAGCAGTCCCCTCCGCGACCGCACTCTGCTGGTTCCGGAGGTCGGCAGGGCCGGCGGAATGGCGGTGGGCGTGGCGGCAATTGTAGCGGGCAGGATCCCGCCCTCGATCGGGCCGCGAATGCATTTGCGGAAGTGGTGCGGCAGGCGCGGGCGAGTGGGGAGCCGACGCACGTGCACATTGAGGTGACCAACGGACCTCCCTTCGCCGCGGACCCAGGCCCGGTGGCTCCTCAGCGCGCGCCGACGCTGCGCGAGTATCTGCCCGCGCGGGAGGGGGGGGCTCGGTTTCGCACCCCTCGCCAGGTCCCGGGCTTCTCCGCGCAGCGCGTGACTGGTGGCCGGACTCCTGGCTGGTCGACGGCGTTTCCGCGCGAAGCTCCGACTGCACCTCCCCCCACTCACGCGGGGAGAGACCCCATGCTGACCATGTGCCGGATTCTGAATCTGGCGGAGGCGTGTGAGGTGGTGGCGAACTTGCAGCTGGCGGTGTGTGGGGCCACGCGGAGCTTTCCGAGCAGTTACGGTCCAGGATCCCGAGGGTCCTGCGTGTCTTTGGCAGAATCGCTCGAGTCGCCGTTGGCACCCGTGTCGGAAGCGCCCGCCGGGGTAGCACCCTTAGCGCGTACCTTCCCCCGCCACGTGGGGGATCTTGTAGGGGCCGCTCAGGTCGGGACTCCTGTGGACACACTTCAGTCGTCGGCGCATCTCCTCCTTGCGATGACGGCGTGCATGCGCTCGATGCTTGAGGTGGAGGGGGCGGAGCCGTACACGATGTAGGCCTTCGCCTAGTGTAGAACTGCATGCCGTGTTGTCTTGTTTTAGTCCAGCTCTCTTGCTTTCTTTGCGTGTGCGTTCTTCCCCGTATTGGTATTCCTCCGCCTTGTTCCTTGCCACCAGGAGCGCGCGGCCGGAGGCCGCGCAAGCGAGCGGCGGCGGCCGAAGGCCGCCGGCGCGAGCCGCCGAAATTGAACTCCACACGAAATAATGAGGAGAAAAAGACCAAACCAGCCCTTAAAAGGCTATGGAGAGCAAAGGGCAGAGGGATGAGGCAGAGGGCAGAGGGCTAAGGGAATCTCTCTCTCCCTCTCTCTCTCTCTCTCTCTCTCTCTCTCTCTCTCTCTCGCTCTCTCGAACGAACGCCGAAATTGAACTCCACACGAAATAATGAGGAGAAAAAGACCAAACCAGCCCTTAAAAGGCTATGGAGAGCAGAGGGCAGAGGGATGAGGCAGAGGGCAGAGGGCTAAGGGAATCTCTCTCTCCCTCTCTCTCTCTCTCTCTCTCTCTCTCTCTCTCTCTCTCTCTCTCTCTCTCTCTCTCTCTCTCTCTCTCTCGCTCTCTCGAACGAACGCCGAAATTGAACTCCACACGAAATAATGAGGAGAAAAAGACCAACCCAGCCCTTAAAAGGCTATGGAGAGCAGAGGGCAGAGGGATGAGGCAGAGGGCAGAGGGCTAAGGGAATCTCTCTCTCCCTCTCTCTCCCTCTCTCTCTCTCTCTCTCTCTCTCTCTCTCTCTCTCTCTAATGGTCCTTGTATTGATATGTCAAAGAGGTACACACATGCAAGTATAGAGCCTAGAACAAGGGATTTACTACTAGCCAGCCAGACCCCATTGTGCCTATCTACACCTCCATGAGAGGTTCCAACACAACACAACAATCCCCAAGGTGAAGCTCGGACCGGACCCCTCCCACCGGGGGGTTCTCTGCTACGGCCGCCTGGCAGGTCTTAATGATGTATCCGACGGACTGTGCCCGTTGTAGCGCCACCGACCAGCGTTGCCTGAAGAGGTGGAGGAACCTAGCTGCATGGAAGGAGGTTGGTAAGGCGTTGAAATGACGCCTAGCAGCTGTGTCCGCCAGAAGCTTCAGAAACTTCGGGACTTCGGCACAAGGGCAGCCATATGTCTCAACCGCCAGGGGGAAGAAGCTGACGGTGTCAGGCAGGTTGGCATAGTGGCTAATCTTCTTGTCGGCTTGCTCCCTTGCTGCCCATCCTCTCCCCTTGGTAGCGTTTGGATCCCTGGTACTAATGAAGTCCGTGATGGTGACATCACACACGTAGACCGCTCCCGAGCTCCTGTCCTGCATAGTGAAATCCGCGGTCTGCTCCTCTATGGGGCAAAAAGCCGCTGACTCTCTGTAGACTATGAAGCCGGCGTCCTCAGCCAACTTAATGCACGCGTCCCGCAGCTCGTTGTGGGTATTGATCCTATGCTTGCCTGTGCCACAGCGGAAGAGATGGTTTGGCAGCCGCGGGTCCTTGATCTCCACATGTTTCGAGCAGTCACACTTCCGAGGTGTGGAGAAGGGCAGCCCGAGCCTGAAGCGAACGCTGTTGGAGAAGTGCTCTGGTCCTATGCGGCGGGTGGTTTCTAGTGGGATGGCCGTCAACCAGTCCCCTGTGCCGTAGCCGGTCAGAGAGAGGAATCGCTGTGTGTGGCCTGACAGGGGGTTCAGATCCATACGTCGTGTTGCTTGCACTTTCGTGGCATACCTTCTCCCCTGCACCCTCACCCCTATCTCATGCTGTAGCCTCAGCCCCGCTGGCTCTAGTCTCTCTTTGTCTAGGATCTCCCTTGCCTCCTCCGGCAGCTCTGTTTCGCAGAGTGTCAGCCACTGGTGTAGGGGTGTGCCAGTGGGTAGCAGCATATGGTCTCGTGCGGCTCTCAAGGCCCCATCCGGCTCCAGTGGCAGTTGGCTCAGGAGAAGGGCGGCCTGCGTAAAACTGGCTAGGAAGCCGTAGGTGCCTTCTACCGTTGGGTCTGCTAGTCCAATGCCACCTAGGGACGGAGGCAGTGATGATTGTTCCCAGACACGGCTCTGTTCTGCGCTATCCGTTGGAAACCGTATTCCGCACGCTGTGAGAAGGGTGACCAGCAGGTCCTGACCCCATTGTGACCACGTGTCACGGTCTAGGAGTTGCAGAGGGGTGGTTCGTGTGAGATATGCTACTCTGCGTGAAATGCACCGTGTTAACAGGAGAGCTGTCACCTGTGGGTCCATCCGTTCGAGGAATGGTAGCGGTTTGGACATGGACTCTAGCTGGGCGGAGAGAAAGGCGGCGGCAGCGGACGATGTTCCTAGGAAACTGCCCAAGAGTCTCACGCCATCCGCACTAAACGGTACCCCGGGCGGCAGTTGTATCGCTGTTTCTACCGGCTGATTGCTCCACGCGGCGCATTTGGCAGGGTTGTGACGCAGTCCTATTTCCTCCAGTTGGTTGGTGAAGTGGGTAAACGCTCCTACAGTATCGCGCGGGTCTCCCAAGAAGCTCACGTCGTCGGCGTATGCTAAGCACAGTACGCTTGGGTATGCTGTTGCGGTCGCTTTCAGGGCTGGATGGATCCCAGCCGCGAACAACAGTGGACCTAAGGGGTCCCCTTGTCGCACCCCACGTTCACTCGTCAGCGGCTGGCTGTTGAAGCCGGCGTCTAAGAATAGTGATGACGGATTGCCGTAGGTGAGTTTGACCAGTGGGAGTAGGGGGGTGAGGGACTGGTCTTGTAGTGCTGTAATAATGGCTTGTCGGTTTATGCTGTTGAAGGCGTTGGAGATGTCGGTCTGTAGGATAAGGCAGCTAGGATGTGCGTCGATGTATGCGCGTGAGCTGTGAATGATTGCCTCCGCCCCCCCTGGCACAGCTACCCCGTACTGAAGCGGTAGAAAAAAGGTCCGCGCTGCTTCACCTAGTGCTGACAAGGCCGCTTTTGCCACCAATTGCATCAGACATTCACCAATCGCGATCGGCCGGGCCCCACCGTCTGGCTTTGCCAGGGCAATCAGCCTCGAGGACGTGAGCAGTTGCGCCACGGGCGGTGGCAGATTTCCCCGCAAAATCGTGTTCACTAAGGCGTGCAGATGGGTGGTGACGGATGCATTTGTCACTGACGCATCGCGTATGTGTTCAAACACCATTCCACTCGGTCCGGACCCCACACCGTTCTCGCATCGGCTAAGCAGTTTCGTAAAATCCGCGTACGGAATTTCAAGGAAATCTGGTTCGGTGACGGCTGGCCAGGTCAGTGGGTCCGGTCCGGCAGGTGGGTGTTTGGTTCGGAGTTCCTCCAGAATCTCGGAGCTTGCCGTGCAGACTTGGTTTGACTCGAGCGCCAATACGGCGCGGCGAAGGCTTCCCTTCTTCGCCAGGCCTTCTGCCCTGCTGATGATGCCGAGGGTGTCAGGTTGGTGACGTGGCGCGGGCGGGGTGTTGACTGCTTCCACCGCTTCCCGGTACAGTTGCTGCCATTCGCCGCGTTGAAAAGCGCGGAGACGGGCCTTGATTTTTGGCCAATCCGGTCGCCTCGACGAACCCTGTCGCAGTGTCAGTCGTGGGAGAAAAAGCAGTAACCGCCAACCTGCGACCGAGTCCGGGCTTCGCGAGAGGTGCAGAAGGGGTGCCAGTACTGCCAGCGAGAAAATCTCGCTCAAATTTGGCGGTAGCCGTCGTAACAGAGTCGGTTGGCGGCTGTCGCAGAGCGGTGCGATGTCCCAGTTCGCCACCTTGGCGAATAATTCGGCCTTCACAGCCAGCTCTGCTGGCGAGTAATAGCGCGGGTTTTGAGACTGTCGGGCCGCATGTGCTTGACTCCTCGCGGTTCGATTTCCTCGTCCGCGGCTCGGGGTGCGGTTGGGTGTCGGGGTTGGGATGGTGACCGTCCGATCCACATCCTGTGGCTCTCTCCTTCCCGATTGCCCGTCCGTTTCTCTTCGAGTCACTTCACCCCGTCTCTCCCTCTGCTCTCTCACCTCCTCTTCCCCTTCCCCCTCGCTACTACTGCTTGATGCCTGTGCATCTCCTATATAAGTCTGGTCGTCGCGCTCGTCATTCTCATTTAGTGTGGTTAAAGCCCGTCGCCCAGCTGCTTGGAACGCGTTCTCCGGACCGCCCTCGACTCCGTTTCGCCCCCGTCGGCCAGCCCCTTGTCGCCTCCCGCCTCGCGATGGTGGTTGCTGGCGAGCCGTGGCCATTGCCATCGCACGCTGCCGCTGTGTCAGCGGTGAGCGGAAGGTCCCCGCCTGCTGCTGCCTCGGGTGTTGCTGCGCTGAAGCCGCCAGTCCCACCTGCCCGGGGGCCACCTCCCTCTGCCGCTGGGGTCTCTCCGCCTCCGGACCCACACCTCGTGACGAGCCCGGCTCCTCCGTCGCCTCTGCCAGGTCCGTCTGCCCCTGTTGTCGAGTCGGGCCCTCCGCTTCCTGTCGAGGCTCCTGCTCCTGCAATTCCTGCTGTTCCGTTGGCTGCCCATGCGAGCTCTGTCGCACCGCCTGCTGTTGCTGATCCTGCTGCTGCTCCGCCTGTCCCGGGGGTCCCTGTCTCAACGCCCGCCGTCGTTGACCCTGTTGCACCTGCCGCGGCTGTTGCTTCGTCGCCGATGGCGGAGTCCGCCACCACTGGCGGCCAGGCCCCTGTTGTAACGCAGGCGGCGGCGGTCCAGACGGCTCCTGATGCTGCTCCGCATGTCGTCGCCCCTCCTGCTCAACGTCCGCCGTCTCCGGGCCGCCGACAGTCTCGGCCCCATTCCCCTGCGCCTCGTGACGAGCGCGCGGCGTCGCGGCGGCGCCACGATTCCCCTCGGCGCCGCGGTTCTCAAGCGAACTGGCCCGCGGCTCGCGGCGGTCGTGGTGGGTGGTGGGGAGGGCGCGGTCGTGGTGGCGGCTGGGCGTATGAACAGCCCGTGACGATGGCGGATCTGCAGCGCGTCGTATCTGCTGCGGTGCGTGAGGAGCGGAATGGGCAGGCGAGCCTGGGCAACTTGCCGCGTGTCGCTCCAGCCCCCGTGCCTCCTCCTCCTGTTGCGCTTCCTGTTCCTGCCGTTCCGCCTCTGCTGGCAGCTGCTCCGCCTCCCCCTGCTCCCTCTGTGTATGCTGTCGCTCCGGCGGGTCGTGTGGAACCCCCGCGGGTTCCTGCTGTTGCTGACGCCCTGTCATTTCCGGCGTGGGCGGGACCTCCTCGCATGGTTGAGGTCCCTGAGGCGTCGCTTGGGCAGCTGTGGCGCCTCGCTGAGGGCTTGCGGGCCGTGCACCTGATCCAGGCGTACGCTCATGCTGCTCTCGCTCGTGGTGGCTCGCTGGATGGTCGCCAGCGGGACGAGTGTCTTGATGCTGCTGACCGGCTCGCGGAGCTGCTGGCGCCCGTGCTGGCTGCGCCTGCGATGGGCGTAATTGCGGGTGTTGGGCAGCTTGGTACAGCTGTCCGTGGGCTGCGGCGGATTTTGCGCGCAGGCTCTGGAGCCGATGTGATCGGCGCAAGCACGGCGGCGGTGCGGGAGCTGCACCGCTCTCTGACTGGGCTCCTGGCGGTTCTTGACGCGGATCAGTTCTAGTGCCTGCCTCCTCCTGCTCCATTGTTGTTTGCGTAGCTTTTAGGCGGTAAGATTTGCCATTGCTTGTATGCTCCTCAATATACCGACTTGTGTTTGTGGACCCTTGCCGCCCCAAATGCGCGGCCGAAGGCCGCGCTGTCGAGCGTCGGCCGCCGAAGGCGGCCGGCGCGAGCCGCTGGGTTAGAAGAAATGAACCCACGAACTGAATAATGAGCCCCACACAAGACCCACGGCCTTATATAGCACGGGTAGGGGCGGTTGAGAGGCTGAGAGGCTAAGGGGCTAAGGGACTATGCCTCTCTCTCTCTCTCTCTCACTCTCTGCCGCTGGGTTAGAAGAAATGAACCCACGAACTGAATAATGAGCCCCACACAAGACCCACGGCCTTATATAGCACGGGTAGGGGCGGTTGAGAGGCTGAGAGGCTAAGGGGCTAAGGGACTATGCCTCTCTCTCTCTCTCTCTCTCTCTCTCTCTCTCTCTCTCTCTCTCTCTCTTTCTCTCTCTCTCTCTCTCTCTCTCTCTCTCTCTCTCTCTCTCTCTCTCTCTCTCTCTCTCTCTCTCTCCCTGTGAAGTGCGACGGTTTGTGTTCTGAGACGTCTCAAAACTCGTATCTGAAGAGCTCTCTCCTTGGTTGGAAGTGCGACGGTTTGTGTTCTGAGACATCTCAAAACTCGTATCTGAAGAGCTCTCTCCTTGGTTGGAAGTGCGACGGTTTGTGTTCTGAGACGTCTCAAAACGCATATCTGAAGAGCTCTCTCCTTGGTTGGAAGTGCGACGGTTTGTGTTCTGAGATGTCTCAAAACTCATATCTGAAGAGCTCTCTCCTTGGTTGGAAGTGCGACGGTTTGTGTTCTGAGATGTCTCAAAACTCGTATCTGAAGAGCTCTCTCCTTGGTTGGAAGTGCGACGGTTTGTGTTCTGAGATGTCTCAAAACTCGTATCTGAAGAGCTCTCTCCTTGGTTGGAAGTGCGACGGTTTGTGTTCTGAGACGTCTCAAAACTCCTATCTGAAGAGCTCTCTCCTTGGTTGGAAGTGCGACGGTCTGTGTTCTGAGACGTCTCAAAACTCGTATCTGAAGAGCTCTCTCCTTGGTTGGAAGTGCGACGGTTTGTGTTCTGAGACGTCTCAAAACTCGTATCTGAAGAGCTCTCTCCTTGGTTGGAAGTGCGACGGTTTGTGTTCTGAGACGTCTCAAAAATCGTATCTGAAGAGCTCTCTCCTTGGTTGGAAGTGCGACGGTCTGTTAAGCTTCTTAAAAGTTTTCTCCTCCGCTCCTCTCCTTTCCGTCTTGCAGGCTGTGGGGCAAGGCGTATCTGAAGAGCCCTCTGCCCAACGAGGTGATGGGGCGTGCGTATGAGCACGCTCACCCAACCCACTTCTATCCCTTCCTTTCTTCTCCCTCCCTCCCGTTTCCGCTGTGCAGGCTGTGGGGCAAGGCGTATTTGAGGAGCCCTCTTCCCAACGAGGTGATGGGGCGTATGGGCGAGCACTCCAATGAATTCAAGAAGGTGGGTCGATGGGAGAGAGATATACTAGCACTCTGAGGGGGACTTAATGAAGGTGAGCAGACTTTGCTGCAGAAGGGAAGGAGCATGCCTGAGCAGCAGCCCTCTCCTCTGCACCCTCTCCCCAACGAACGAGGTGCTGGGGCGTAGGGCAAGCACTCCAAGGGATATAAGAACGTGAGCAAGTAGGGCTCTCTGTTTATCGACAGGGAAGGAGCATGCCTGAGCAGCAGCCCTCTCCTCTGCACCCTCTCTTCAGCGAGGTGCTGGGGCATATGGGCGAACACTCCAAGGAGTTTAAGAAGGTGGGTCGACTATATTGGAGTCTCTTTTTAGAAGGTGGAGTGTGTATTGGAGCTGAATTTTGAGTCGACTCAAAAGTCAGCTCTTTTGAGAAGGTGGAGTGTGTATTGGAGCTGACTTTTGAGTCGACTCAAAGTCAGCTCTTTTGAGAAGGTGGGGTGTGTATTGGAGAGGGGAGTCCTCTGCGTGCTCAGCCCTTTCCTCTGCACCCTCTTTTGAGAAGGTGGAGTGTGTATTGGAGAAGGTGGAGTCTGTATTGGAGAATCCTCAAAAGTGGCTTCAAGCAACGTGCTTGAGCAGGCGCACTGGTGGTTTAGCAAAAAAAAAACAAAAAAACAAAAAAAAAAAAAAACAACAACAACAACAACAAAAACGAGGGCCCTTGTTTGTTCTTCACAGTTAGAAGAGAGTTTTTGAGACGCCTCAAGAACACACTAATATCATAGGGTCGTTGTTTGTTCTTCTCAGTTCGTCTGTTCTTGTTCCTGTTAGTTCCAATTCCTGCAGTGTTTGTATCCCCCCTTTGTTCCGCCAAGCACAGCTGTGGGACATTGGCGTCTCCCCTCTGGCCTCTCCCCTCTGGCCTCTTCCCACTGGCCTCTCCTAAATGGCCTCTTCCCACTGTCTGTAGCCCAAGTGACACGCTTCATGCTGTCCCACCCTTCTCCCTCTGCCCTTTCTTCACAACCTCTCTCCCTTCTCTCCTTCTCTCTCCCTTCTCTTCCCCCACCAGGCGCGCTGGTGGCGAGCCCAAGCAACGCACTTCATGCTTCTCCACAACCTCTCTCCCTTCCCCCTCCCGCCTCCCTTTCCCACCAGGCGCACTGGTGGCGAGCCCAGGCAACGCACTTCATACTTCATTCGCCTCTGTTCAGCCCTCCTTCTGTGCGCGTCTGCTAATCCCCCCCGCCCCACCCTTCCCCCACCAGGCGCACTGGTGGAGGGCCCAAGCAACGCGCTTCATGCTGCGGTGGCCGTCGGCCTACCTGTGCCACATCATCAACCGCGAGCGCCACCACGTGTATGGCATGCACGTGGCCCGCCAGGTCGTGGCGTCTCAGATGGACGTACGCACCCTACTGGGAGAGTCCCGCGAAAGCAACAAGTCAGCTGAGGAGCTGGGAGGGTTTAAGGGAGAAGGGGGGCTTTTGAAAGATAGCCAGGTCGTGGTGTCCCACGTGGACCAGAAAAGGCTACTGGGAGAGTCCCGGGAGAGCAATAAGTCCGCTGGGGAGCTGGGAGGGTTTAAGGGAAGAGGAGGGCTTTTGAAAGAGCAAAAGCTGCTAGCGATCCGTATGGAGCAGAGAAGCGTGCTGGAAGAGACCTGGGGAAGCAGCAAACTCAAAGGGAAGATGGGAGGGTTTGGCGGAAGTGGCACGCCCTCTGAAGAGCGGCAGCTGCTTGCGGTCCGTATGGACCAGAGAAGCACGCTGGAAGAGACCTGGGGAAGCACGTTTGAGGAGAAGGTCCCTTTGTTGCCTCGGAAACTTGTTAAGCGTTTCAACGGGTCAGGTGAGGAGGAGGGTCGGACGAGGAAGAAGAGGATGAGGAGGAGGAGGGTGAAAAGTATTGGGGTTGTAGGAGGGAGGGAGGGCGGCGATGGTGGAGAGAAGGAGGTTGGGAGGAGGAGGAGGAGGAGGAGGAGGAGGAGGAGGAGGAGGAGGAGGAGGAGGAGGAGGAGGAGGAGGAGGAGGAGGAGGAGGAGGAGGAGGAGGAGGAGGAGGAGGAGGATGAAGGAGGGTGGGGTTGAGGGCTTAAAGGACGTTGGCCAGTGGAGGAAGTTTGAAGAGCAAGAGAAGCTCGACCTGGGACCGTCTTCATCCCCCTCCTCTGCTTCTCACACGACTCTGCCTTCTCTCCCTACTGCTGCTGCTGCTGCTGCTGCAACTGATTCCAAAGAAACTAGGGGAAGTATGGTTACCAGCCAAGAACGAGGGGATAGAGTAACCAGCCAAGATCGAGGGGATAGATTAACCAACCAAGATCAAGGGGATATGACACTCTCCAGTGGGGGTGCACTGAGGCAGAGAGGCCCTGGCTTGGAGACAAGTGCATGGCCTGCGATGGGGTACCAGGGCTGCAGCTTAGGGAATGCCGCTGCAGCTGCCAGCAGCAGCAGCAACAGCAGCAGAAGCGGAAATGGAAATGGAGGCTTAGGAGATTCGGAAGGGGAGCGGTACGGTTCGGATCCGTTTCTTGCGAACTACGAGGGGGTGGGAGGGGAGCCGTACGTCCCGCGGCCGATAGTGAGCATGCATGTGCGGCAAGGCGACAAGGGGTTTGAGATGCAGCTCTTCTCCTTCTATGCATACATGTTCATGGCCAATCGCATCCGGCGGGGATTCCCCGGTGTGCGATATGTGTGGCTCAGCACTGAGATGCAGGTGAGGAGGGGAGAAGGGGGGGTGTTTGCAGGGTAGAGGGCGAGAGAGATTCAGGTGAGAGAGGGGTGTGGGGGGAGGGAGGGAGAACCCCGGTGTGCGATACGCGTGGCTCAGCACGGAGATGCAGGTGAGGAGGGGGGAGAGGGGGGTGCAGGGGAGAGGGTGGGGAGCATGCAGGTGAGGGGGGAGGCGCTGGCTGTTTTCCTTCTATGCCCTCGTGTTCATGGCCAATCACGTGCGGCGAGGATTTCCTGCCGTGCGATACGCATGGGTCAGCAACGAGATGCAGGTAAGGGAGGGAGAGGGTTGCCATGCCCACAGCACGAAAATGCATATTGTTGGGTATAAGCATTCCCAGGTGTACGATACGCATGGCTTAGCACCAAGATGCAGGTGAGGGGGAGGGGAGAGTTGCAGGCAGCACGTAAATGCATGTTGTTGGGTATGAGCATTCCCAGGTGACTGAATCATGTGCTTGCTCCGTGTTGCTTGTGGTGGCTATGCAGAGTGTTGTGGATCAGTCGAGTCGATTCACAGACTGGACGTTTTTCTACTCCGAGGTTCCACGGCAAGGGGCTGGAACGAGGATGTCAGAATACACGGAGAAATTCGGCCTGGCACGTACAGTGGGAATAAGCTTTGCAAACCTGCTTATCGCTTCGGAATGCGACCATTTTGTTGGGGTTCTCGCGTCGAATTGGAATAGGATGATCAATGAGCTTAAGAACACCAATGGACGCTTATATAGTGGGTACGTGTCGTTAAACAACGACGAGTGGTGATTGAGTTTCTCTTATTGCGATTGTTGTCACGCAATGATTTACCATGAATTTGTTTGTGAGAACATTCTATTAGAAAGCTCACCAATTGTTATGAGTTGTAAAAGAGAGTGCGCAGGTTAACGAATAACGAGAAGGTGATTGAAACAGACTGATTATAAAATGAAGGCACACGCTAATATAGTGAGTAGGCGAGCTAAGAGGGAACTTCGGGTGAGTGAAGTTGGGTGCAGGTTTGGCGAAGAGAAAAGCTGAAGGCGACGTAAGGAGGCTCGGCATCGTTGATGTCGGCCAAACGTGCAGAGTCCGAAAATCGGGGCTGTACGCGAAGCAGTCAACCCCGATAAGGAATTCGGGAAAATTCCTTACACCACCCCCCCCCCTTAAGAAAGGTGGTCAATATCCGCAATTCGCTTGCGTGCGAGGTAATCAACAAGAAGTGGAGAGTCTGCAAGCGAAGCGGATGACACCCACGTGTCGTCCTCACTGGTGCGGTCAGTCCAACGGATTAAAAAATCCACGTGGCGGCCAACGGCATCCAGGCGAACACGATGCGCCAAAATCTTGGACGGGTCAAGTGTCGGTTCTGGTACCGGGCGTGCCGTTGGTGCAGCCTGTTGTCGTGCGTGTTAAACTTAGTAGCACAGGAGGGAGTGGGAAACTTAGGAGCCATGCCTAGGGTGTTAAGCTAGGCATGGACAATCGAGATGGTTGAGAAGGAGAAGGGGTTTCACTATAGAAAGTTGAGTACAAATAGGGTAGGAAAGGTGGGTACACCACCAAGCAGGAAGTTAGAATAACTACACTAAGGCTAGAACTACATGCAGTTATAATATAATTCTGACATCCCCCCTTAACTGCATGCAGGAAGAGCCAAGTGCTAGACACAACCTGCAGGGGTACACCAAGCAGAACAAAGCAGCAGTACGCAAGTGCAGTGACAACCAGTGCAATAGTGGCAGATACAGTTGCAGCAACCCCGCAGCCAAGGTAGAAGCAGCAGAAACAGGAGCGTGCGGCGGCAAGGGCGGCGGCACAGCAGCAGTAGGTGCATGTGGCGGCAGGCCGCCTGGAGAGCAGGAGCGTGCGGCACAAGCGGTGGCGGCACAGCTGGGCTCAACGGCAGCACCTGCCGCACAACAGCAAAAGCAAGGCAAGACAAGCTAAGTGGCGACCGGGGCTGTAACTGGAGGTACCACGGGAGCAGAGGGCGGCAGTTGCAGATGAGGGGGGGGGTTGGGGCTGCTTCGTCCGCCACACTCTGTCGTCCCCCCTTAACCGCTCTCATCCCCCTACACCTCTCTCCTCCTCCCCCCCCCCCAACACATAGCAACAAGCGCTGCAGTGGGAGAGAGAGGAGGAGAGGCGGCAGCAGGTCACCCACACCCGCCACCCCCATACCCTCCCCCCACTGCTGCACCTGCAGCAGGGGGATGGAGGAGAAGTGGGGGGGGGCGGGGGGGGGGCTGGTGCTGCAGATCCCCCCCCCCCCCACTGCTGGACCCACAGCAGGGGGATGGAGGAGAAGTGGGGGGGGGCGGGGGGGGGCTGGTGCTGCAGATCCCCTCCCCCCCACTGCTGCACCCGCCACCCCCACATCTCCCCCCCTTCCACGGCAGAAGCTGCGAGAGGGAAGGAGGAGGGGGGGGGGGGGGTGGGGGGGGGGGGGCGGCGTTAGCTGCTGCCGGCGCTGGTGCTGACGGTGGCGCAGGTGTAGGCTCCGGCGCTGGTGCTGGCGCTGGGTGCTTGCACTCCGCACTGGCGCTGGCGGTAGTCGCAGGTGCTTGCGCTGGCGGTCCGAGCTGGCGCTGGCGCTTTCGACGGGCAGGGCGACGACGACGACGGGGATAGCGTAGGCCGACGACGGGACGGGATGGGCAGGCGCGTCGGGCGCGACAGGGCCGCGGGGCCGTGCTAGGGCGACGGGTCCGCGACAGGCGACGGGGCCGCGACAGGCGACGGGGCCGCGGGGCCATGTTAAAGGCGACGGGGCCGCGGGGCCGTGCTAGGGCGACGGGGCCGCGGGGCCGTGCTTGGGCAACGGGGCCGCGGGGCCGTGCTAGGGCGATGGGGGGCCGCGGGGCCGTGCTAGGGACGACGGGCGACAGGCAACGCATTCCGCATTTCGTGCTGCTGCGTGGGTGGGCCCATGTTTCACGAAAGACCGAAGTAGCTCTTAATACCATGTTAAAATTAGTAGCACAGGAGGGAGTGGGAAACGTAGGAGCCATGCCTAGGGTGTTAAGCTAGGCATGGACTATCGAGATGGTTGAGAAGGAGAAGGGGTTTCACTATAGAAAGTTGAGTACAAATAGGGTAGGAAAGGTGGGTACACCACCAAGCAGGAAGTTAGGATAACTACACTAAGGCTAGAACTACATGCAGTTATAATATAATTCTGATAGTGCGATGTCGGTCGTGGCTGGCACGAACTTGCGAAGTAAGCTGACATGGAAGGCGTCATGGATACGCCAGTCGTCGGGTAGCAGCAGTTTCGCGGTGACAGGTGTCACCATCTTAAGAATCTTGAAAGGCCCGCAAAATCGTGGCCGTAATTTTGATGGGCCTGGCAGTCGCAGGTTCTTCGTGTCGAGGAGGACTAATTGCCCAGCTGTCAAGACGAGTTCCCATCGTAAAAGGTCGGTGTATTTTCGGGAAGTGGTATTTGCCTTGCGAATTGCGTTCGCAGCTTTCTCTCGAACTTCCTGGAGTTCAAAATTCAGCTCTTTTGAGAAGGTGGAGTGTGTATTGGAGCTGACTTTTGAGTCGACTCAAAAGTCAGCTCTTTTGAGAAGGTGGGGTGTGTATTGGATAGTGGAGTCCTCTGCGTGCTCAGCCCTTTCCTCTACTGTCAAATTAACGAACGAGAATGGAAGGAAGAAAGAGGGGTTGCACTAGCAAGAGTTGGGATACAAATACCAAACCCTAAATTGGGTTGTACTCACTACAGAGTACTCGACTGCAGGCTAGACAGCAAATACATTCTGACACACCCCCATAGTCAAAGTGAGGTATAATCAGCAGAGCAAGCAGTCATAGAGCAGGTTCACCAGTACAAGCAAAGCTAGAGGCATTCACAAAGGGCAAGTGAGGAAGAGGAGGCTAGACTGTGAGAGGAGAGGAGATAGGAGGCGACGTCTGATCTTGCAGACTGACGGGCAACAGGAGCGGTGCGCACGGTGGCTACCGGAGCAAGGGCCCCGGACTACAGGAGTAACTGGCTCTGCGGCTAACTCTGAGCGGCAGGAGCAACGGACCCACGGGCGACAGGCGCAGCAGGCTCTCTGAGCTACCAGAAGCAGAGCCCCGGACTACAGGTGCTCCAGACGACAAGACGACAGCCTCCGCTCAACCTCCCCCAACTGTCCCACCCTTCTTTCACACACCCCTTGTTGCACCCCTAGCTCCACTCCCACGTCACCCCCCTAGCACCACTCCCTCGGCTCCCACACACCCACCCCCCTCAGCGGTAGCTGCAGTGGTGGGAGACAAAGGAGGAGGAGGAGGAGTAGGGGACGGTTCACACACCCGCCACCCCCATACCCGCCACCCCGCAGTTGCACGAGGACAGGAGGCGGCAGGGGCGGCTCGCGCGCTGCAGGGGCGGCTCGCGGGCTGCAGGAGGGGCAGCGCGCGGGCCCCCGAGGGCGCCACGACGGGCGACGGGAAGGGGGCCGGGCGTGGGCCCCCAAGGGCGCCACGACGGGCGATGGGAGGGGGGCCGCGTGCGGGCCCCCGAGAGCGCCACGACGGGCGACGGGAGGGGGCCGCGCGCGGGCCCCCGAGGGCGCCACGACGGGCGACGAGAGGGGGGCCGCGCGCGGGCCCCCGGGGGCGCCACGACGGGCGACGGGAAGGGGGGCCGCGCGCGGGCCCCCGAGGGCGCCACGACGAGCGACGGGAGGGAAGGGGGGCGTGCGCGGGCTAGGGACGGGCCACGCGCGGGCGAGAGACGGGGCCGAGCACGGGCTAGGGACTGGTGGGTCGCGGGCTAGGTACGGGCCGATCGCGGGCTAGGTACGGGCTGGGCGCGGGCTAGGTACGGGCCGGGCGCGGGCGAGAGACGGGGCTGGGCGCGGGCTAGGTACGGGCGATCGCGGGCTAGGTACAGGCCGGGCGCGGGCGAGAGACGGGGCCGGGCGCTGGGCGCGATACGGGGCCGGGCGCGAGACGGGGCCGGGCGCTAGGCTAGATACGAGGCCGGGCGCGGGGCTAAGGGCCGACAGGGCCGGGCGCGGGCTAGGAACGGGCCGGTCGCGGGCTAGGTACGGGCCGATCACGGGCTAGGTACGGGCCAGGCGGGCTAGGTACGGGCCGGGCGCGGGCGAGAGACGGGGCCGGGCGCGGGCTAGGTATGGGCCGGGCGCGGGGCTAGGAACGGGGCCGGGCGCGGGGCTAGGGGTCGACGGGCCACGAAGGCTAGGAGCGACGGGCCTAGGGGGAGTACTCGCAGCGTAGCAGGTGGTGGGCCCAAGTAACCTGCTCTGATTCCATGTCAAAGTAACGAACGAGAATGGAAGGAAGAAAGAGGGGTTGCACTAGCAAGAGTTGGGATACAAATACCAAACCCTAAATTGGGTTGTACTCACTACAGAGTAGCCCACTGCAGGCTAGACAGCAAATACATTCTGACATCTGCACCCTCTTCTGAGAAGGTGGAGTGTGTATTGGAGAAGGTGGAGTCTGTATTGGAGAATCCTCAAAAGTGGCTTCAAGCAACGTGCTTGAGCAGGCGCACTGGTGGTTTAGCAAAAAAAAAAACAACAACAAAAACGAGGGCCCTTGTTTGTTCTTCACAGTTAGAAGAGAGTTTTTGAGACGCCTCAAGAACACACTAATATCATAGGGCCGTTGTTTGTTCTTCTCAGTTCGTTTGTTCTTGTTCCTATTAGTTCCAATTCCTGCAGTGTTTGTATCCCCCCTTTGTTCCGCCAAGCACAGCGGTGGGACATTGGCGTCTCCCCTCTGGCCTCTCCCCTCTGGCCTCTCCCCTCTGGCCTCTTCCCACTGGCCTCTCCTAAATGGCCTCTTCCCACTGTCTGTAGCCCAAGTGACATGCTTCATGCTGTCCCACCTTTCTCCCTCTGCCCTTTCTTCACAACCTCTCTCCCTTCTCTCCTTCTCTCTCCCTTCTCTTCCCCCACCAGGCGCGCTGGTGGCGAGCCCAAGCAACGCACTTCATGCTTCTCCACAACCTCTCTCCCTTTCCCCTCCCGCCTCCCTTCCCCCTCCCGCCTCCCTTTCCCACCAGGCGCACTGGTGGCGAGCCCAGGCAACGCACTTCATACTTCATTCGCCTCTGTTCAGCCCTCCTTCTGTGCGCGTCTGATAATCCCCCTCGCCCCACCCTTCCCCCACCAGGCGCACTGGTGGAGGACCCAAGCAACGCGCTTCATGCTGCGGTGGCCGTCGGCCTACCTGTGCCACATCATCAACCGCGAGCGCCACCACGTGTATGGCATGCACGTGGCCCGCCAGGTCGTGGCGTCTCAGATGGACCTACGCACCCTACTGGGAGAGTCCCGCGAAAGCAACAAGTCAGCTGAGGAGCTGGGAGGGTTTAAGGGAGAAGGGGGGCTTTTGAAAGATAGCCAGGTTGTGGCATCCCACATGGACCAGAAAAGGCTATTGGGAGAGTCCCGGGAGAGCAATAAGTCCGCTGGGGAGCTGGGAGGGTTTAAGGGAAGAGGAGGGCTTTTGAAAGAGCAAAAGCTGCTAGCGATCCATATGGAGCAGAGAAGCGTGCTGGAAGAGACCTGGGGAAGCAGCAAACTCAAAGGGAAGATGGGAGGGTTTGGGGGAAGTGGCACGTCCTCTGAAGAGCGGCAGCTGCTTGCAGTCCGTATGGACCAGAGAAGCACGCTGGAAGAGACCTGGGGAAGCATGTTTGAGGAGAAGGTCCCTTTGTTGCCTCGGAAACTCGTTAAGCGTTTCGACGGGTCAGGTGAGGAGGAGGGTCGGATGAGGAAGAAGAGGAGGAGGAGGAGGAGGAGGAGGAGGAGGAGGAGGAGGAGGAGGAGGAGGAGGAGGAGGAGGAGGAGGAGGAGGGTGAAAAGTAGTGGGGTTGAAGGAGGGAGGGAGGGTGGCGATGGTGGAGAGAAGGAGGTTGGGAGGAGGAGGAGGAGGAGGAGGAGGAGGAGGAGGAGGAGGAGGAGGAGGAGGAGGAGGAGGAGGAGGAGGAGGAGGAGGAGGAGGATGATGATGGAGGGTGGGGTTGAGGGCTTAAAGGACGTTGGCCAGTGGAGGAAGTTTGAAGAGCAAGAGAAGCTCGACCTAGGACCATCTTCATCCCCCTCCTCTGCTTCTCACACGACTCTGCCTTCTCTCCCTACTACTGCTGCTGCTACTGCAATTGATTCCAAAGAAACTAGGGGAAGTATGGTTACCAGCCAAGAACGAGGGGATAGAGTAACCAGCCAAGATCGAGGGGATAGATTAACCAACCAAGATCAAGGGGATATGACACTCTCCAGTGGGGGTGCAATGAGGCAGAGATGCCCTGGCTTGGAGACAAGTGCATGGCCTGCGATGGGGTACCAGGGCTGCAGCTTAGGGAATGCCGCTGCAGCTGCCAGCAGCAGCAGCAATAGCAGCAGAAGCAGAAATGGAAATGGAGGCTTAGGAGATTCGGAAGGGGAGCGGTACGGTTTGGATCCGTTTCTTGCGAACTACGAGGGGGTGGAAGGGGAGCCGTACGTCCCGCGGCCGATAGTGAGCGTGCATGTGCGGCAAGGCGACAAGGGGATTGAGATGCAGCTCTTCTCCTTCTATGCATACATGTTCATGGCCAATCGTATCCGGCGGGGATTCCCCGGTGTGTGATATGTGTGGCTCAGCACTGAGATACAGGTGAGGAGGGGAGAAAGGGGGGTGTTTGCAGGGTAGAGGGCGAGAGAGATTCAGGTGAGAGAGGGGTGTGGGGGGAGGGAGGGAGGACCCCGGTGTGCGATACGCGTGGCTCAGCACTGAGATGCAGGTGAGGAGGGGGGAGAGGGGGGTGCAGGGGAGAGGGTGGGGAGCATGCAGGTGAGGGGGTAGGCGCTGGCTGTTTTCCTTCTATGCCCTCGTGTTCATGGCCAATCACGTGCGGCGAGGATTTCCTGCCGTGCGATATGCATGGGTCAGCAACGAGATGCAGGTAAGGGAGGGAGAGGGTTGCCCTGCCCACAGCACGAAAATGCATAATGTTGGGGATAAGCATTCCCAGGTGTACGATACGCATGGCTTAGCACCAAGATGCAGGTGAGGGGGAGGGGAGAGTTGCAGGCAGCACGTAAATGCATGTTGTTGGGTATGAGCATTCCCAGGTGATTGAATCATGTGCTTGCTCCGTGTTGCTTGTGGTGGCTATGCAGAGTGTTGTGGATCAGTCGAGTCGATTCACAGACTGGACGTTTTTTTACTCCGAGGTTCCGCGGCAAGGGGCTGGAACGAGGATGTCAAAATACACTGAGAAATTCTGCCTGGCACGCACAGTGGGAATAAGCTTTGCAAACCTGCTTATCGCTTCGGAATGCGACCATTTTGTTGGGGTTCTCGCGTCGAATTGGAATAGGATGATCAATGAGCTTAAGAACACCAATGGACGCTTATATAGTGGGTACGTGTCGTTAAACAACGGCGAGTGGTGATTGAGTTTCTCTTATTGCGATTGTTATGCAATGATTTACCATGAATTTGTTTGTGAGAACATTCTATTAGAAAGCTCACCAATTGTTATGAGTTGTAAAAGAGAGTGCACAGGTTAACGAATAACGAGAAGGTGATTGAAACAGACTGATTATAAAATGAAGGCACACGCTAATATAGTGAGTAGGCTAGCTAGGAGGGAACTTCGGGTGAGTGAAGTTGGGTGCAGGTTTGGCGAAGAGAAAAGCTGAAGGCGACGTAAGGAGGCTCGGCATCGTTGATGTCGGCCAAACGTGCAGAGTCCGAAAATCGGGGCTGTACGCGAAGCAGTCAACCCCGATAAGGAATTCGGGAAAATTCCTTACACTACCCCCCCCCCCCCCCCCTTAAGAAAGGTGGTCAATATCCGCAGTTCGCTTGCGTGCGAGGTAATCAACAAGAAGTGGAGAGTCTGCAAGCGAAATGGATGACACCCATGTGTCGTCCTCACTGGTGCGGTCAGTCCAACGGATTAAAAAATCCACGTGGCGGCCAGCGGCATCCAGGGGAACACGATGCGCCAAAATCTTGGACGGGTCAAGTGTCGGTTCTGGTACCGGGCGTGCCGTTGGTGCAACCTGTTGTCGTGCGATGTCGGTCGTGGCTGGCACAAACTTGCGAAGTATGCTGGCATGGAAGGCGTCATGGATACGCCAGTCGTCGGGTAGCAGCAGTTTCGCGGTGACAGGTGTCACCATCTTGAGAATCTTGAAAGGCCCGCAAAATCGTGGCCGTAATTTCGATGGGTCTGGCAGTCGCAGGTTCTTCGTGTCGAGGAGGACTAATTGCCCAGCTGTCAAGACGAGTTCCCATCGTAAAAGGTTGGTGTATTTTCGGGAAGTGGTATTTGCCTTGCGAATTGCGTTCGCAGCATTTTTTTAAACTTCCTGGAGTTCAAAAGTCAGCTCTTTTGAGAAGGTGGAGTGTGTACTGGAGCTAACTTTTGAGTCGACTCAAAAGTCAGCTCTTTTGAGAAGGTGGGGTGTGTATTGGAGAGGGGAGTCCTCTGCGTGCTCAGCCCTTTCCTCTGCACCCTCTTTTGAGAAGGTGGAGTGTGTATTGGAGAAGGTGGAGTCTGTATTGGAGAATCCTCAAAAGTGGCTTCAAGCAACGTGCTTGAGTAGGCGCACTGGTGGTTTAGCAAAAAAAAAAAAAAAAAAAAAAAAAAAAAAAAAAAACAACAACAACAACAACAACAACAACAACAACAACAACAACAACAACAACAAAAACGAGGGCCCTTGTTTGTTCTTCACAGTTAGAAGAGAGTTTTTGAGACGCCTCAAGAACACACTAATATCATAGGGCCGTTGTTTGTTCTTCTCAGTTCGTCTGTTCTTGTTCCTGTTAGTTCCAATTCCTGCAGTGTTTGTATCCCCCCTTTGTTCCGCCAAGCACAGCGGTGGGACATTGGCGTCTCCCCTCTGGCCTCTCCCCTCTGGCCTCTTCCCACTGGCCTCTCCTAAATGGCCTCTTCCCACTGTCTGTAGCCCAAGTGACACGCTTCATGCTGTCCCACCCTTCTCCCTCTGCCCTTTCTTCACAACCTCTCTCCCTTCTCTCCTTCTCTCTCCCTTCTCTTCCCCCACCAGGCGCGCTGGTGGCGAGCCCAAGCAACGCACTTCATGCTTCTCCACAACCTCTCTCCCTTCCCCCTCCCGCCTCCCTTTCCCACCAGGCGCACTGGTGGCGAGCCCAGGCAACGCACTTCATACTTCATTCGCCTCTGTTCAGCTCTCCTTCTGTGCGCGTCTGCTAATCCCCCCCGCCCCACCCTTCCCCCACCAGGCGCACTGGTGGAGGGCCCAAGCAACGCGCTTCATGTTGCGGTGGTCGTCGGCCTACCTGTGCCACATCATCAACTGCGAGCGCCACCACGTGTATGGCATGCACGTGGCCTGCCAGGTCGTGGCGTCTCAGATGGACCTACGCACCCTACTGGGAGAGTCCTGCGAAAGCAACAAGTCAGCTGAGGAGCTGGGAGGGTTTAAGGGAGAAGGGGGGCTTTTGAAAGATAGCCAGGTCGTGGCATCCCACGTGGACCAGAAAAGGCTACTGGGAGAGTCCCGCGAGAGCAATAAGTCCGCTGGGGAGCTGGGAGGGTTTAAGGGAAGAGGAGGGCTTTTGAAAGAGCAAAAGCTGCTAGCGATCCGTATGGAGCAGAGAAGCGTGCTGGAAGAGACCTGGGGAAGCAGCAAACTCAACGGGAAGATGGGAGGGTTTGGGGGAAGTGGCACGTCCTCTGAAGAGCGGCAGCTGCTTGCGGACCGTATGGACCAGAGAAGCACGCTGGAAGAGACCTGGGGAAGCACGTTTGAGGAGAAGGTCCCTTTGTTGCCTCGGAAACTTGTTAGCGTTTCGACGGGTCAGGTGAGGAGGAGGGTCGGACGAGGAAGAAGAGGATGAGGAGGAGGAGGAGGGTGAAAATTAGTGGGGTTGAAGGAGGGAGGGAGGGTGGCGATGGTGGAGAGAAGGAGGTTGGGAGGAGGAGGAGGAGGAGGAGGAGGATGATAATGAAGGAGGGTGGGGTTGAGGGCTTAAAGGACGTTGGCCAGTGGAGGAAGTTTGAAGAGCAAGAGAAGCTCGACCTGGGACCGTCTTCATCCCCCTCCTCTGCTTCTCACACGACTCTGCCTTCTCTCCCTACTGCTGCTGCTGCTGCTGCAACTGATTCCAAAGAAACTAGGGGAAGTATGGTTACCAGCCAAGAACGAGGGGATAGAGTAACCAGCCAAGATCGAGGGGATAGATTAACCAACCAAGATCAAGGGGATATGACACTCTCCAGTGGGGGTGCACTGAGGCAGAGATGCCCTGGCTTGGAGACAAGTGCATGGCCTGCGATGGGGTACCAGGGCTGCAGCTTAGGGAATGCCGCTGCAGCTGCCAGCAGCAGCAGCAACAGCAGCAGAAGCAGAAATGGAAATGGAGGCTTAGGAGATTCGGAAGGGGAGCGGTACAGATTGGATCCGTTTCTTGTGAACTACGAGGGGGTGGGAGGGGAGCCGTACGTCCCGCGGCCGATAGTGAGCGTGCATGTGCGGCAAGGCGACAAGGGGATTGAGATGCAGCTCTTCTCCTTCTATGCATATATGTTCATGGCCAATCATATCCGGCGGGGATTCCCCGGTGTGCGATATGTGTGGCTCAGCACTGAGATGCAGGTGAGGAGGGGAGAAGGGGGGGTGTTTGCAGGGTAGAGGGCGAGAGAGATTCAGGTGAGAGGGGTGTGGGGGGAGGGAGGGAGAACCCCGGTGTGCGATATGTGTGGCTCAACACTGAGATGCAGGTGAGGAGGGGGGAGAGGGGGGTGCAGGGGAGAGGGTGGGGAGCATGCAGGTGAGGGGGGAGGCGCTGGCTGTTTTCCTTCTATGCCCTCGTGTTCATGGCCAATCACGTGCGGCGAGGATTTCCTGCCGTGCGATACGCATGGGTCAGCAACGAGATTCAGGTAAGGGAGGGAGAGGGTTGCCCTGCCCACAGCACGAAAATGCATATTGTTGGGTATAAGCATTCCCAGGTGTACGATACGCATGGCTTAGCACCAAGATGCATGTGAGCGGGGGGGGGAGAGTTCCAGACAGCACGTAAATGCATGTTGTTGGGTATGAGCATTCCCAGGTGACTGAATCATGTGCTTGCTCCGTGTTGCTTGTGGTGGCTATGCAGAGTGTTGTGGATCAGTCGAGTCGATTCACAGACTGGACGTTTTTCTACTCCGAGGTTCCGCGGCAAGGGGCTGGAACGAGGATGTCAGGATACACTGAGAAATTCGGCCTGGCACGCACAGTGGGAATAAGCTTTGCAAACCTGCTTATCGCTTCGGAATGCGACCATTTTGTTGGGGTTCTCGCGTCGAATTGGAATAGGATGATCAATGAGCTTAAGAACACCAATGGACGCTTATATAGTGGGTACGTGTCGTTAAACAACGACGAGTGGTGATTGAGTTTCTCTTATTGCGATTGTTATCACGCAATGATTTACCATGAATTTGTTTGTGAGAACATTCTATTAGAAAGCTCACCAATTGTTATGAGTTGTAAAAGAGAGTGCGCAGGTTAACGAATAACGAGAAAATGATTGAAACAGACTGATTATAAAATGAAGGCACACGCTAATATAGTGAGTAGGCTAGCTAGGAGGGAACTTCGGGTGAGTGAAGTTGGGTGCAGGTTTGGCGAAGAGAAAAGCCGAAGGCGACGCAAGGAGGCTCGGCATCGTTGATGTCGGCCAAACGTGCAGAGTCCGAAAATCGGGGCTGTACGCGAAGCAGTCAACCCCGATAAGGAATTCGGGAAAATCCCTTACACTACCCCCCCCCCCTTAAGAAAGGTGGTCAATATCCGCAGTTCGCTTGCGTGCGAGGTAATCAACAAGAAGTGGAGAGTCTGCAAGCGAAGCGGATGACACCCACGTGTCGTCCTCACTGGTGCGGTCAGTCCAACGGATTAAAAAATCCACGTGGCGGCCAGCGGCATCCAGGCGAACACGATGCACCAAAATCTTGGACGGGTCAAGTGTCGGTTCTGGTACCGGGCGTGCCGTTGGTGCAGCCTGTTGTCGTGCGATGTCGGTCGTGGCTGGCACGAACTTGCGAAGTAAGCTGACATGGAAGGCGTCATGGATACGCCAGTCGTCGGGTAGCAGCAGTTTCGCGGTGACAGGTGTCACCATCTTGAGAATCTTGAAAGGCCCGCAAAATCGTGGCCGTAATTTTGATGGGCCTGGCAATCGCAGGTTCTTCGTGTCGAGGAGGACTAATTGCCCAGCTGTCAAGACGAGTTCCCATCGTAAAAGGTCGGTGTATTTTCGGGAAGTGGTATTTGCCTTGCGAATTACGTTCGCAGCTTTTTCTCAAACTTCCTGGAGTTCAAAAGTCAGCTCTTTTGAGAAGGTGGAGTGTGTATTGGAGCTAACTTTTGAGTCGACTCAAAAGTCAGCTCTTTTGAGAAGGTGGGGTGTGTATTGGAGAGGGGAGTCCTCTGCGTGCTCAGCCCTTTCCTCTGCACCCTCTTTTGAGAAGGTGGAGTGTGTATTGGAGAAGGTGGAGTCTGTATTGGAGAATCCTCAAAAGTGGCTTCAAGCAACGTGCTTGAGTAGGCGCACTGGTGGTTTAGCAAAAAAAAAAAAAAAACAAGAACAAGAACAACAACAACAACAACAACAACAACAACAACAACAACAACAACAACAACAACAACAACAACAACAACAACAACAACAACAACAACAACAACAACAACAACAACAAAAACGAGGGCCCTTATTTGTTCTTCACAGTTAGAAGAGAGTTTTTGAGACGCCTCAAGAACACACTAATATCATAGGGCCGTTGTTTGTTCTTCTCAGTTCGTCTGTTCTTGTTCCTGTTAGTTCCAATTCCTGCAGTGTTTGTATCCCCCCTTTGTTCCGCCAAGCACAGCGGTGGGACATTGGCGTCTCCCCTCTGGCCTCTCCCCTCTGGCCTCTTCCCACTGGCCTCTCCTAAATGGCCTCTTCCCACTGTCTGTAGCCCAAGTGACACGCTTCATGCTGTCCCACCCTTCTCCCTCTGCCCTTTCTTCACAACCTCTCTCCCTTCTCTCCTTCTCTCTCCCTTCTCTTCCCCCACCAGGCGCGCTGGTGGCGAGCCCAAGCAACGCACTTCATGCTTCTCCACAACCTCTCTCCCTTCCCCCTCCCGCCTCCCTTTCCCACCAGGCGCACTGGTGGCGAGCCCAGGCAACGCACTTCATACTTCATTCGCCTCTGTTCAGCCCTCCTTCTGTGCGCGTCTGCTAATCCCCCCCGCCCCACCCTTCCCCCACCAGGCGCACTGGTGGAGGGCCCAAGCAACGCGCTTCGTGCTGCGGTGGCCGTCGGCCTACCTCTGCCACATCATCAACCGCGAGCTCCACCACGTGTATGGCATGCACGTGGCCCGCCAGGTCGTGGCGTCCCAAGCAGAACAACGCACCCTGCTGGCAGAGTTTGGGACGAGTGGGAGGGGTCCTGAGGACCAAAGAAGCCTGGCTGCAGAGTTTGGGAGGAGTGGGAGGGGTCCTGAGGGGGGGAAGAGGGAAGTTGGCAAGAGGAGCACCGCCGCCGAACCTACAGAGGGTCGGCCGGAGCTCGGGAGGGATGGTAGGGTTTCTGATGAGCAGCAGGGGGGTGCGGAATGGGGTGGAGAGGAGGTTGCGCGGAGGAGGTTGAAGGAGAGTGAGGTTGAGCAAGGGAAGGAGGTTGGGAGATGGTGGGAGTTTGAACAGCAAGGTCAGCCGGAACTTGAGCCTTCCTCCTCCTCCTCTTCTCCTAAAGCCTCCTCCTCCTCCTCCTCCTCCTCCTCTTCCTCTTCCCCCTCCTCTTCCTCCTACTCCTCCTCCCCCTCCTCCTCTTCCCCCTCCTCCTCCTCCTCCTCCTCCTCCTCCTCCTCCTCCTCCTCCTCCTCCTCCCCCTCCTCCTCCTCTTCCTCCTACTCTAGTTCTGAGACTCCCCAACCCCTTGGTGCTGCTACTTCGTCTTCTCCTGCTGCTGCTGATTCTTCGGCTCCTGAGGCAGAGAGGCGGACAGGCCCTGGCTTGGAAACGTGTGCATGGCCGAAGATTGGTTACCAGGGCTGCAGCTTAGGTGATGGCACAGCTGCTGCTGCTGCTGCTGATTTCAGTAGCAGCAGCAGCAGAAGTGGAGGGTTAGGAGATTCGGAAGGGGAGCAGTGCGGGTGGGATCCGTATCTTGCGAACTACGAGGGGGTGGGAGGGGAGCCGTACGTTCCGCGTCCGATAGTGAGTGTGCATGTGCGGCAGGGCGACAAGGCACATGAGATGCGGCTCTTCTCCTTCTATGCATTCATGTTCATGGCCAACCGAATCAGGCGGGAGAATCCCAGTGTGCGATACGTGTGGCTCAGCACTGAGATGCAGGTGAGTGAGAGGGGGGAAGGGGGGCGCAGGGAAGAGGGGGGATGCAGGGGAGAGGTGGGAAACATGCAGGTACATGAAGGTGAGAAGGGGAATTGGAGGTGAGAGAGCTGGTGAGAGGGAAAGTCTTATGAGGAGGAGGGTGAGGGGGAAGGTCTTAAAACATCATTCAACATCTACTCACATGAGAGGGGGAGGGTGAGGGTCTTAAAACATTGTACAACATTTACTCATCACTTTTTAATGCTCGGTTTTCTCCTGGCATGTTATGCAGAGTGTTGTGGATCAGTCGAGTCTCTTCACAGACTGGACATTTTTCTACTCAGAGGTTCCGAGGCAAGGAGCTGGAACGAGAATGTCAGAATACACGGAGATGTTTGGCCTGGCGCGTACAGTGGGAATCAGCTTCGCGAATCTTATTATTGCGTCTGAATGCGACTTTTTTGTTGGCGACCTGGCGTCGAATTGGAATAGGATGATTAACGAGCTTAAGAACACTAATTGACGCTTGTATAATGGGTACGCGTCTGTAAACAATGGGGAGTGGTGAATTGGTTTATTATTAATTGCATGACAACTTTTGAGGTGCCTCTAATAGTGCAAGACACTGTTGCAGGGAGGTAAGGGACACAGGACAGTGGCTAATTCCCTAGTGCCATGCCTTTTGATCTCCCCTCTCAGTACCACTCATCCCTCAATTCCCCTCTGCACTTTGCTCAATTCTCCCCGATCTCCCCTCGTCTCCACCCAGCTGCCAGCTCATCTCCCCTAAGCTCCCAAATTAGCTTGCACATACTTTTCTTTTGAGGCGCCTCAAAAGTGAGGTGCCTCAAAAGTCTTTTAAGCTCCCAAATTAGCTTGCACTTTCTGTTCTCTGCGTGCGTGCTTGACACGGCAGGCACTCCCCTTCTGTGCTCTCCCCTGAAGCAGCTTTCACCACAGCAGGACCACCAGGGCCGTATAAAAGGTCAATGCGAAACGACAGAGGCAATGCTGATGCTGCTGTTGCTGCTACTGCTGGTGCTGCTGATGCTGTTGCTGAAGGTGCTGGTACTGATGCTGGCCCTGTTGCTGCTGGCGTTGCTAGTGATGCTCTATGCGCTGCTGCTTGTGCTGATCCTGCTGCTGGTAAATCTGATCTGGGTTTACCTTCTGCTGCAGCAGCAGCAGCAGCAGCAGCAGCAGCAGCAGCAGCTGGTGTGGTGACAGCAGCCTGCTTCGCATTCAAGTCTCCAACAGCATCTGCTTCCAAGGCAACTCTGGGGGCAACAGTGGCTTGAAGCACGAACAGTTGCCACTTGGCATCTGATTGAAGGTTGTAGAGGAGGGTGCTCCTGCAGCCTGTAAGAGGGTTGATATGACAAAAAGAAGTTGTATGACATCAGATGATGGGAAGTGAAGGGAGTCTAATCTGAAGCACGAACAGTTGCCACTTGGCATCTGATTGAAGGTTGAAGAGGAGGGTGCTCCTGCCGCCTGCAATGGAGGTAATATGACATTGGAAGGGAAATCAAGAAAAAGATGGATGGAAAGAGAAATTGAGTGAGGGATGTGGGGAGGGACGGAATGAGGACGGACGGACAGATGGACGGACAAATATGGGAACGAACGAGTGATTGACGACCGACTGACTGACTGACTGACTGACTGGCTGACTGGCTGACTGACTGACTGGCTGACTGGCTGACTGACTGACTGACTAACTGACAAACTGTCCGACTGACTGATGTGACCAACCGACCGACTGACTGACTGCTTGACTGATGCACGAACGGACTAACTGACCGACTGACTGACCGACCAACAGAACGACCGACTGACGATTTGACAAATTAACTGACAAGTTGACTGACTGACTGACTGACTGACCGTGCGTCCTGATGGCGCGGAGATGGAACAGCGCTGAGCCCTGGGGTCCCTCCACAGGAAACGTCGCGGAAGCTGCGCGTCCGCCATGAGAAGTACCGATAGTGGCGCTGTACCAAGGGCCTCGCGTTATCGGCGATCCGATCGCCGTCTTTAGCTGCTCGTTCCGACCCGCCACCTCCAATGCCTCACTGTCCTGACAATGACAGGACGCACAGGACAACGGTAGTATAATCATTAATTTAGGCTTTGAACCCCTTTTACGGTAAGAGTGATTCAATCGCTGTTTTGAACAACAGCTGCTCGTTCCGGTTCGCGACCTCCAATGCTTCACTGTACTGGCAGCGACGAAGACGCACACACAAGGTGAAGACGTGGTAAAGTGGACTTTTAAAGCGTAACAAACGAGGACTTGATGATAAGAAGTTGCCGATCCAAAGGCCGAGAAGGATAGCGGGCGATTCTAACGGATAAGAGGACACGATCGACGACCCTAACGTTAAGAACGATTATGGAGATCCTGCGGTAAGAAGAGAGCATGGTCGACGAATATACGGCTAAAAGGGTGCCTGATGATCCTACGGTTAAGCGGACATGATCGACAAACCAGCGGCTAAGCGGATGTAATAGACGATCCAACGGCTAAGATGACATAAGAGCCGATCTAACGGCTACCTGCTGCATCGGTAGAAGAGCAGAGCATCGTCTGCGACGCTGTAAGTAACGGCGAGCGTCGCACCGGCAAGGATCGCACCTCCCGCGATCCGCGGCCAAGGCCACCTCGATCGTGCCGCGCTTCGCAGAGGCTTACTGGCGGCCATGGAGGGATAAGATCGTCGCGGTTGACGTCACCATTAAAGTTGACGGTGACGGCGACGTTTGCTACTTAGCGAGGTTACTTCCAAGTGGAACCCGCGAAAGAAGGTTGCCCGGGAATGGAGCAGCTTGTCTCACATGATACGCGTGGAATTCCTCCAGATTTCCTCCCCTTGGATTTCTCCCTTTTGGAATGTCGCAATACACGCTGGGTCAACAAATCGTAGTTCTTGTTATGTTATATGAAATTAGCATCTCAGGTGTTATGACTTTTTATCACCTGATGGTGGGATACAATGTTCATGCATCATAGTACGAAACCATTTTTTCCCCTCAAATCAGGAGAACCAGCCCATGTAGTGAATGGAGATCGCAATAACGAGGATAATGATGGAGGCCAGAAGCACTGGCCGTTGCAGCAGCCAGCGCACAGCCTCCTGAAACCTTGCTGCAGCTGTTTGTGCCTTCTGGGCAAACTTCATCTGCAAATGTTACAAAGAAGGGAAGAGGGGTTGGCGGGGTTGGCCGGGTAGGGGAGAGGAACAATAGTCGAGTAAAGCTCACATCACGTCCCACTGTAAAAGCTTGTATGTGTCGGTCAATCGAGAGGGGCATGTGAGACAGGGTCAATCCAGCTCCCCCTGCTCCAGCTCCCCCTGCTCCACTCCACCCACATGCTCTACTCTACCACATGCACTCCCTATCCATTGCCACACAGAGGTCAGCCTCCCCTCGTACCACAGTGGCCAGCCTCTCAGGCCCCAGACCTTGCATCATCTGCTTGGCCTGCTCTGCCTGCTCCACTCCACCCACATGCTCTGCCCCACGCACTCCCCATCAGATGTCACATCAACGCACACAAGCCACCTCTATCCCTTTTACCACAGTAGCCAGCCTCCCCTCTTACCACCATAGCTAGCCGCTCAGGTCCCAGCCCCTAGATCATTCACTTGGCCTGCTCTGCCTGCTTCACTCCACCCACATGCTCTGCGCCATGCGCACTTCCCATCCATCTAGAGTCAGACACGCATGGAACGATCCCCACTCCTTTCCACCACTTACCACCGTTGGCAGCCGCTCAGGGCCCAGCCCCTGCATCATGCGCTTGGCCTGCTCTGCCTGCTCCACCGATATGCTCTGTCCCATGCGTGAGCTCATGGCTGCGATGTCCTCTGCGCTAAGCTGCTGCATCATGTCGCTCATCAGCTGGGGGGAAGGGGGTTGGGTGCGGTGGGGAGTGGTGGGGTAGGGTAAGGTGGGGTGAGGTGGGGTGGGGTGTGGTGGGGAGGGGTGATGAAGGTACAGGTAAGGACAGAAGGGCAGAAAATTCATGGACACATCTCCTCTGCCTGCTCCACCGACATGCTCTGTCCCATGCGTGAGCTCATGGCTGCGATGTCCTCTGCGCTAAGCTGCTGCATCATGTCGCTCATCAGCTGGAGGAGGGTAGGGTGTGGTAGAGCGTAGTGGAGTGCAGTGCGGTAGGGCAGGTTTGGGTGGGGTGGGGTGGGGTAGGGTCGAGAGTGATGAAGGTTCAGGCAGGGACAGAAAGGCAGAGGATTCAAGCAGGAATATGCTTTGCCTGCTCTATCCACATAGTTTCCCCATGCATGAGCTCACGGCTGCCATGTCCTCTGCACTCACTGCACCATCATGTCGCTCATCAGCTGGAAGGGGGGTGTGGGTTGAGGTTACAGGACGACAAGTGGGGCAGAGAGAAGAACAGAGGGGAGGGTGCTAATGAGTTGCCCCATGCGTGACCTCAGGGGAGGGCTGCAATGTCCTCTGTGCCAGACAGCAGGCCGTGCCTTCACAGTTTTGAGAATTCGTCAAAAGCAACCTCCGCTTTACTGCACTCTGCCGCTGCATCATGATAGCCGTACCTTCACAGTGGAAGGGTCGTTCAGCAGGCGCTCCTGCAGCTGCATCGGGTCCAATCCCCCGCCGACACCTGGCGCCGGCATCCCCCCTCCACTGAACTCCCCCCCTCCTGCTGCTCCCCCTGCTGCCTCCACTCCTCTTCCAAATCCTGGAGGCATGCCATAGGTGGTCTCTGTAACAGCAGAAGTAGCAGCAGGAGCAGCACTGCCCGTGCTTCTGCTGCTCGCACTCCCAGTTGCAGGAGTCAGTACAGGATCGGAATCATTGCTGCTGCTGCCTCTGCTGCCACTGCTGCCACCGCTGCTACCAACACAACCCACTGCCCTTCCTGCCCCCCTTTCCCCAGCCACCCCTGCTCCCACTGCGCCCCCTGTTCCCCCCGTTCCCCCTACACCCCCGCTCCCCGTCCCCCCAGCAACCCCACCCCCGGCTTGGCTAAAAGTAGAAGCAAGGCGCATCATCTTTTGCAGGTCTTCTGGAGACATGGAGCCGACGAGCTGTGCTGCAGTGCGGGCCATTTCGGGGGATAGGGCGCCGCCACTCAGCGCTGCCACTGCTGCTGGATCCATGCTCGTCATCATCGCCTGCATGTTGCTGGGGGAAAGGAAGGAAATGGGGGGCAGGGAAGTGGTGCGAGCTCAACAGGAAAGAGTGTCATGGTGTGCTTTTGAGACGTCTCAAAAGGAAGTGGTGCGAGCTCAACAGGAAAGAGTGTCATGGTGTGACTGTTGCCGCGCCGCCACTGCTGCTGGATCCATGCTCGTCATCATCGCCTGCATGTTGCTGGAGGGAGGGGGGGGTTGAGGGGGGGATTGGGGGAGAGAGGGGAGAGAATGGGGAAGGGGAAGAGGGGTGAGTCTGAGAGAAGAAGACCATATGACTGACATGGTCAGTCACTCAGTGCCGCCACTCAGTGTCGCTACAGCTGCTAGATCCGCGCTATCATTACAACTCACCGCACGAGAGCAGGGTCCGTGGCAGAGAGGTCAGGAGACATGGTGGGAACTGAGGGGGGGATGAACAGTGGATTGCTGCCCACTGCTGCTGCCGCTGCTGCTGGTTGTGCGTCTGCCACTGATGCTGCTGCTGGCGAAACTACTGCTCCGGAAGCAGAGGACCCAGCAAGGGAGGCAGCAGGAGCGTCGTTGCCCTCAACTATGTCCTCCAGAGACACTGCAGCAGGCAGGGGAAGGATGGGCGGGGGGGCAAGAAGGCGGGAGAAAGCAAGCAGCAGGGTGTGGGGAGGGAGTTCGAGCAGCATGGGAGGCAGCAGGAGCATTGTCGCCCTCATCAATGTCCTCCAGAGAAACTGCAGCAGCAGGAGAAGGGAGGGCGGGGAAGGACAGGCGGGAGAACGCAAGGAGCAGGGTGTGGTAAGTTTTGAGACGTCTCAAAGCAAGGAGCAGGGTGTGGTAAGGGGGATCTTGCATGTTCTGCTGCAAATCAGTGGGCCGAGCAGAAGGAGAGGCAGCAAGGGCATCGTCTCCCTCATCTATGTCCTCCAGAGAAACTGCAGCAGCGGGGGAAGGACGGGCGGGGAGGTAAGACGGCAGGAGAACAGAAGGAGCAGGGTTTGGGCCGGGCAGCAGGAGAGGCAGCAGGGGAGGTTGCAGGAGCACCATCTCCCTCATCTATGTCTTCCAGAGAAACTGCACGGGCAGGCAAGATGGGGGGAGAAAGAAACGAGCAGGGCGTGGGGATTGAGAAACCCCTTACAGGAAAACAGTCACAGGCAGGCAAGATGGAGCAATTTCGTGAGCTGACTTCAAAAGAAAGAGAATTGGAGGGATGATGGTTTATGAGGGGAAAGGAAGAACATGGTGGGCGGGAAAAGGGGGGGGAGAGTATGAAGTTGATCGATGATGAGATATAAACCTTAATGGGAGAGGGGTGAAAGCAGGAGAGCGGGGAACAAAGGGCACTAGTAAAATATACATAACACTGTCTGCACTACCAACCAGCATACCTTTCTTCTTCGTGGTATCCAGTGCTGCTTTGGTTTCTCTGAATGCATGAATACAAGGGGAGGGAGGCATACAGAAGGGGAGGAAGAAAGAGAAAATCTAATGAGCGACACAACGGATTGGGCGAGGGAGAGAGAAAATGGTGAGTGGAGACGCGTACATCTCTTTTGATGCTCTTCCCCGTTGACTTTTGAGTTGAATCAAAAGTCAACTTGGAAACGCGGACATTTCTCCTGACGCTCTTCCCCATTGTGACCTCACACCCCCCCACCTCTTCCCCATTGTGACCTCACACCCCCCCACCTCTTTCCCAGTGCATAGTTGATACGGATGCCAATCAGGAAACAAGGATTGCTCAGCGCCTGCAGCCCACCTGAGTACCCCTGCCAGCGTTTCACCATCCAGAAGAGTGCAACAAATGTGCTTCGACAAGCCTCAAAAGTGCAATGCGCACAGTCAGCCAGCCAGCCCACCTGAGCACGCCTGCTAGCGTTTCATCATCCGGTGAGATCTGAGCCGCTTTGGACAGGTCTGCTACAGCCTCCTGCACAGCGGAAGGGCGTGGGATGGCAAAGAAATGCAGCAAAAATAAAATAAATAAAATAAAAAAAACCAGGGCTACTATGAAGCATCGTGGTGCTACCTGTGCTGCTCTTGACACGCCAAAATTTAAGCCACGCACTTACTTCTCAACCTAAACCCTAAACCCCACACCTACTTTCAGCTGCCCGAGCTCCTTGTAAGCCAATCCTCGTCTGTACAGCGCCTTGAGGCTAGACCCATCTTCAGAAATCACCTGGGTAAATAGTAATTAAAAAGGTCAAACGCATGGTGTACAGAGTCAAATAGGAGCATAGTCAGTGCAGCAGAGCAGAGCAGACTAGCATGTGAAATAAAACAAATATGCAAGAACGGAGGAGGCATGACAACTGCAGTGACAAGCACAACACTGGTTTGTTTTATTGGAAAGACCACCTGAGAGCCAACAGAGACTCACCTGAGAGCCAACAGAGACCCACCTGGGAGCCAACAGAGACCCACCTGAGAGCCAACAACTCACCTGAGTGCCAACAGCGACAGCATGGGCAAAGGCGTTGGTCTTGAGGTGGCAGGACATGAGGTTGACTGCACACGTGCGCCGCAGGGACACCGCTGCTGGGGAGGAATGCATAGCAAGGTTGTCCCGTGCCTGTGAAAGAGCAGGTCAGCAAGGGGAAAGGTAGTGCTGAAGTGGCAGGACATGAGGTTGACTGCACACGTGCGTCGCAGCGACACCGCTGCTCGGGAGGAATGCATGGCTAGATTGTCCCGCGCCTGAGGAGGAGTGAAGGGGAGAGAAGGGGAGAGAAGGGGAGAGAAGGGGAGAGAAGGGGAGAGAAGGGGAGAGACAGCACTGGGTGATTGCGTGGGGGATGGCAGAGAGCAGGGCAGCAAGGGAAAAGGAGTTGGTGTTGAGGTGGCAGGATATGAGGCTGACTGCACACGACACCGCGACACTGCTGCTGGGGACGAGTGCATTGCGAGGCTGCCCCGTGCCTGTAAAAGAGCAGGCAGCATGGGCAAAGGCGCTGGTGTTGAGGTGGCAGGACATGAGGCTGTCTGCTCCTATGGGACACAGCCACACTGCTGCTGGGGACAAGTGCCTTGCGAGGCTGCCCCGTGCGATTGAACCGGACTGTCATCCCTCTGAGTCCCTCGAACAACACATACTTTCCTGGCACTTCCCCTCTCCCCATCACTCCATGCCACATACACACGTACCCTGTTCCACGTACCCTCTCCGTGCCACAAACACACATACCCGGTTATACTTCTCTGCAGCTTCCGAGTACTTTCCCATCCCATGGAGCTTATTACCCTGCACGTACACACACATGTGAGAGGGAGGGAGGGAGATGGAAAGAGTGTGAGGGCGAGGGGACCAGCAGCCGAAAGCAGTTGAGGTTTATTAAGAGATATGATACATCTTTCCCATCCCATGCAGCTTGTTACCCTGCACGTACACACAGATGTGGGAGGGAGAAAGGTATGTGGAAAGAGTGTGGGGCCGAGGGGTAAAAGCGGTTGTGTCTGCTTTTGAGTCAATTCAAAAGCACAGATGTGGGATGGAGAAAGGTAGGTGGAACGAGTGTGGGGTGGGGCCAAGGGGTAAAAGCGGTTGAGGTGGGTGGGAGGGAGGGAGGAAGAGACTGGAGAGAAGTTGTTGGGTAAACTAAAACGCGGCTCGAATTTCACCTATGTGGCAGTGGCACATACGAGGGCCAGCAGGGTAGCTCACATAGGAGGCAACCACCCTGCGGCTGCTCCTTCTCCCCCTTCCCCTCCTCCTCCCGCTGCTGCTTTTCAACGCACCCAAAAAGGACCAACGGGAAATCCAGAGCCACTAACCTCGTTCTTGAGCATCGTTGCAGCGTTCAGCTCGTACTGCTGCCGCTGGCTCATATACGATGCCACGTCCGGCAACCCCCCTGCTGCTCCTCCTACCACTCCCCCTCCCACTCCTCCTGCTGCTACTTTTCAAAGCACGCAAAGAGGAACAGCAAGAATACGAGAGCCACTAACCTCGTTCTTGAGCATCGTTGCAGCGTTCAGCTCGTACTGCTGCCGCTGGCTCATATACGATGCCACGTCCGGCAACCCCCCTGCTGCTCATCCTACCACTCCCCCTCCCACTCCTCCTGCTGCTACTTTTCAAAGCACGCAAAGAGGAACAGCAAGAATACGAGAGCCACTAACCTCGTTCTTGAGCATCGTTGCAGCGTTCAGCTCGTACTGCTGCCTCTGACTCATATATGACGCCACATCCGGCAACCCCCCTGCTGCAGGTCCTCCTCCTACCCCTCCTCCTCCCCCTCCTCCCGCTGCTGCTGCTCCTGGGATCCCCCCGCCCGCACCGGCGCTGCCCATGGCGGAGGCGATCTGGTGGGGGCTGAGGTGCTTCATCTGCTCCGCTGCCTGCCGCATGTCCTCCGGTGACATGCGCCCCATCTGCTCCGTTGCCAGCCGAATCATGTCCGGGGTCATCATCTGCATGGGAGGGGAGGGAGGGGTGGAGGGAAGAGTGCGAGATTGGGTTGGAAGTGAGAGGATGTGAAGAAGGGGACATGCGCCCCATCTGCTCCGTTGCCAGCCGAATCATGTCCGGGGTCATCATCTGCATGGGTGGGGGAGGAGGAGGAGAGAGGAGCGAGGGAGGACGGGGGATGGAAGGGGGAGGGGTGGGGGAGGGGTGGGGGAAGAGTGGGAGAACGGGTTGGAACTGAGAGGAGGTGAGGTGAGGAAGGAGACATGCGACCACGTGCTTTGTCGCCTCGCCACACGGTCATGGGTGTCATCATCTGAATAAGAAGGCACGGGGGGGCCTCGAAACGACCTGCGATTCATACAACTGCCTATTGATCGCAAGTCCGACTCGTCGCGTCATCTTAAAACGAGAAACAAGTGTGATCTGAGTCGAATGAAAGAAGCACACACACGAGATTCTGACCTGCTGCATGCGCTGAATGTCTCACTTCTCACCTGCTGCATGCGCTGAATGTCTTGAGGCGACATGCGGCTCATCTGCTCCTGCGCCAGGCGAACCATCCCCCGTCCACGAGTGTTATGAGTCGGGTGAAAGCACGCACACACACGATTCTGCATGCGCTGAAAATCTCACTTCTCACCTGCTGCATGCGCTGAATGTCTTGAGGCGACATGCGGCTCATCTGCTCCTGCGCCAGGCGAATCATCTCCGGATCCATGGCCGCCGGAGGAATCATGGCCGTCGGCTACTCGCGTGGCTGCACAAATCCTGGCCGGCCGGCTACGCCTGGCTGAATCCTGGGTCCGCCGGCTACGCCTGGATGAATCCCGGCCGGCTGGTCCAGTCCTGGCTGCACGAATCCTGGCCGACCGCCTACACCTGGCTGCGCCGGACGTCAAGCCAAGCCGCGCGACGAATCCTGCAGTGACGCTCTGCGAAAGTGTTTGTGAGAAGTAACGTTCTGAATGAGCGACGCTTCGAAGGATTTACGATGCGGCTAGCCTGTTCTGAGCGACGCTTTCATTGCGCCGAAAAGCTATCGCGAAATGAAGCGATATAAACTCGCGGTAACAGCTTCGCTAAATGGAATCCAGTGATAACAGCTGGTGGATACTGACAAATGTCACGAGATTCAGAAACGAGAAGTACGAGCAACTAGCTGCTAAGTTGTCAAGCTATCATTAATCTTCATGAAGATCAACAAGGGTTGAGCGTTTAGCAGCGGAAATGGCCATTGGGACTGAATCACGAACCTCGAAAACGCCGCTGTCTTCATTTCTTGCAACCGACAGAGCGTTGAATACGAGGAAATGACGGATCGCCCTGTTTTGAAGTTTCCGATTCTTTTTGGCAGTGGCTTTGACACCGCCTTGCTTTTCCGCTCGCGTCCGATTCCTTGGGGCACCTGATTTCGACATTTCCAATTTCCTGTGACCAGGAAAATTATGAAGTTTACCTGGTTTTAGTTTAGTTGCCAGTGGAAAAAAATACACCCCTCTCGGTTGGCTGGCCATTTGGGAGGCAACCCTAAACACCTTACCTCATGGTGTTTAGGGTTGATGCCTCCAAAATGACATGCCCTCCTGAGGGGTATTTGTTTTTGTCCCGATCTTCTCGTTAATTGACTTGACAATTCAATTTAGGATAGCCCAATAAATAGGACAGAATATTACTCTCTGGACTCGAAAAGCGGAAATAGCATAAATATCTGACTGAAGGTATTGCACGTGAGCGCAAAGCAAGGCGGTGTCAAAACCACGGCCGAAAGGAATCGGAAACCCGAAACCAGGGCGGTCCGTCATTCCCTCGTTGAATACTGATCTGGAAAATGTGGCGATATCAGCTCAAGCGCGCCTGTCAGAAGCTGGCAGAAGCTGGACTCGCTTTAGTACAAGGAAGGGAATTCGTTTGGTACAGTAAGGGGTATTTCTCATCTCACAACAAGATGAGGAATTGGTGAGCTTTCTAACAGAATGTTCTCACAAACAAATTCATGGTAAATCATTGCATAACAATCGCAATAAGAGAAACTCAATCACCACTCGTTGTTGTTTAACGACACGTACCCACTATATAAGCGTCCATTGGTGTTCTTAAGCTCATTGATCATCCTATTCCAATTCGACGCGAGAACCCCAACAAAATGCTCGCATTCCGAAGCGATAAGCAGGTTTGCAAAGCTTATTCCCACTGTGCGTGCCAGGCCGAATTTCTCCGTGTATTCTGACATCCTCGTTCCAGCCCCTTGCCGCGGAACCTCGGAGTAGAAAAACGTCCAGTCTGTGAATCGACTCGACTGATCCACAACACTCTGCGTAGCCGCCACAAGCAACACGGAGCAAACACATGATTCAGTCACCTGGGAATGCTCATACCCAACAACATGCATTTACGTGCTGCCTGCAACTCTCCCCTCCCCCTCACCTGCATCTTGGTGCTAAGCCATGCGTATCGTACACCTGGGAATGCTTATACCCAACAATATGCATTTTCGTGCTGTGGGCAGGGCAACCCTCTCCCTCCCTTACCTGCATCTCGTTGCTGACCCATGCGTATCGCACGGCAGGAAATCCTCGCCGCACGTGATTGGCCATGAACACGAGGGCATAGAAGGACGGCAGGGCCAGGGCAGAGCCGGGCCAGGGCCGGGGCAGTTCAGGGGCAGGGCCGGGGCAGGGCCGGGGCAGAGCCGGGGCAGTTCAGGAGCAGGGCCGGGGCAGTGCAGAAGCAGGGCCGGGGCAGGGCTGGGGCAGTTCAGGAGCAGGGCCGGGGCAGGGCCAGGGCAGAGCCGGGCCATGGCCGGGGCAATTCAGGGGCAGGGCCGAAGCAGGGCCGGGGCAGGGCCGGGGCAGGGCCGGGGCAGAGCCGGGGCAGTTCAGGAGCAGGGCCGGGGCAGTGCAGAAGCAGGGCCGGGGTAGTTCAGGGGCAGGGCCGGGGCAGAGCCGGGGCAGGGCCGGGGCAGGGCTTGGGCAGAGCCGGGCCAGGGCCGGGGCAGTTCAGGGGCAGGTCAGGAGCAGGGCCGGGGCAGTGCAGAAGCAGGGCCGGGGCAGTTCAGGAGCAGGTCCGGGGCAGCGTCGGGGAAGAGCTGCGACAGGGCCGCAGCAGGGCCGGCCGGGCCTGAAGGGGCCTCTAACGGGGCATGACTGGGCCGAACGGGGCCTATAACGGGGCCTGACGAGGCCTATAACGGGGCCGAACGGGGCCTATAACGGGGCCTGACGGGGCCTATAACGGGGCCGTACGGGGCCTATAACGGGGCCTGACGGGCCTTACGGGGCCTGAAACGGGGCCAGATGGGGATTGACGGGGCCGAACGGGGCCTATAACGGGGCCTGACGGGGCCTATAACGGGGCCGTACGGGGCCGATAACGGGGCCTTGCGGGGCCTATAACGGGGCCTGACGGGCCTTACGGGGCCTTAAACGGGGCCAAATGGGGCTTGACGGGGCCGTACTGGGCCTCTAACGGGGCCTGACGGGGCCGTACGGGGCCTCTAACGGGGCCTGTCGGGGCCTAACGGGGCCTTAAACGGGGCCTGACGGGGCCTGAATCCGCGCCCTAAACGGGGCCAAATGGGGCCTGACGGGGCCGTACGGGGCCTCTAACGGGGCCTGACGGGGCCGTACGGGGCCTCTAACGGGGCCTGTCGGGGCCTAACGGGGCCTTAAACGGGGCCGAACGGGGCCTGACGGGGCCTTACGGGGCCTTACGGGGCATAATGGGGCCTTACGGGGCCTTAATCCGCGCCCTAAACGGGGCCTAAAGGGGCCTTACGGGGCCTAACGAGGCCTTAAGGGGCCTTACGGGGCGGGCGCAGGCTCTAAGGGCGGGCGCAGGGGCCGTGACAGGCCTCGAAGGGAAGGTGCGAAGCGCGCGGCAAGTAGGCAGGGGAGAAATTTCAGTGGTGGGCCCTTCAAAAAAATCTCGAAACTAGCTCTATACCATGTGAGAATGATAGACAAAAGAATGATTGAATTGGGAAATGAGAAGGGTACAAGTAGGAAACACATAAGTGTTGTACCCTCTAAGGACTACCCCACTACAGCCTAGACCGACTATAGTAAATATATGTTTGACAGTTGCACCCGCCGAAGATGCGCCATCTCCCTTTCAAGGCGCCGATGCACCGTTCCACCGCCATGCGTGTGGCGCTCTGGCAGTAGTTGAAACATTGGGCCCAATCGTCCATTAGGTCCTCTCCGCGCGGTGCATGCAGGGGGGTTAGGCAGTATTCTCGTAGCGGGTAGGCCGCATCCCCAACAATCTGGTATGGGGCTATGTCCCCGTTGTGTAACCTCTCAAGTAGTGCAGACTCTTTGAAAACCCGCATGTCGTGCGCGCTGCCGGGATAGCCGATGAGGTAATCCCATATCCTGCCTCGTGCATCACACGTGATTTGGAGCTGAACGGCGTAAGCCGACTTCCTTGTCCAGTACTCCGCCCTGTGCCCTTCCATCCCTTTCATGTGGATGTGAGTCCCGTCCACAGCCCCCACCACTGCAGGTACACCTTTGATGGCAGCGAATTCATGCGCCATCTCAGGAAGTTCATCGCGTGTGGGAAAGCGCACCCAGGCGGCCTTGAAGACAGAGGGGAACTCGGTGAGGAACACGTCAACAAGCTCGTGGCAGAGTGTCTTGGAGACACTGAACAGGTACGACATGTCGACGAATGAAATCCCACTCGCCAAGTACTTCATTGGGATGAGCAAAGCAGTGTCCATTGTGATTATCGACCGATGGACGATGGGCTCTAGATATTGTCGCATCCCAGACTTTACAAAGCATGACGTCGCCGCCGTACACTCGCTCTGTGACGGCGGTTCTCCCCGGTGTCGTCCCCGGACGATGAGTTCTGCTCGTCCGCGTCCTCAAACACACCGGACTCTATGAGGCCTACGAAGGACTTCGCGACATTTTCGTAGAAAATGGTGTAGTAGTAGGTGACCCAGGCGACGAGGAGGCGTAGGATGAAGGGGATGGCTCTA